GGCCCCGCCCCCTCCACACGCGGCGGCTCCTCCCCCGGCCCCAGGCCCCGCCCCCTCCACACGCGGCGGCTGCTCTGCTGCCCCCTCGTGGGTGGGTCTCTTCCTCTACACTTCCCTTGCCCCTTTTCTAGATCTGCCCAGAACGTCTCCACCCCTGACTAGGATGGCTCCCGCCCAAGTCTCCTCTCGCTGACTTCCATCACCCGTCCTAAAGTCAGCCCCAGAGGACCAGAAGTGCGTGCAGTCTCCGGACGGGGCGGGTCCCCGGGCTGCCCCTCCGCCCCACTCAGAGCAGCCGCAGCCCGAGCCGCCGCCCTGCCCGCGCTGGGCACAGCCCGTGCCTCCCGCCCCCAACCCACGTCCTCCCCACTCCTGGCAGGAAGGTGCTGGCACCGGTGGCCCTGACTGCCGCAAGAGAGGGAAGCCAGGCCGGGGGGTGGGGGAGCCAGCCCTGGGGGGGGGGAGCCAGCCCGGGGGGGGGCCAGCCCTGGGGGGGGGAGCCAGCCCTGGGGGGGGGGGGGGGGGCCAGGCCTGGGGGGAGCCAGGCCCGGGGGTGGGGGGAGCCAGCCCTGGGGGGGGCCAGGCCTGGGGGGAGCCAGGCCCGGGGGTCTCGCCCATGGACAGGAGCTGTCAGCTTCTCCCCACAGTCCCGCATCAAGTCACCACGGTCCCACCTGTATCTCCGCAGCCCCTATCCCTTACTCTGGCCAAGGCCCCAAACCCCAACACCCAAGCCCGGCAGGAGGCCCTGCCCCGGCACACTGCGCCTACAGTCAGCAGGGGGCGCACCTGGCCACTGTCTCTGCGACCAGAGCAAAGGAGGACGGGCTTGGTCCTGCTACACAGATATGAAAACTGAGGGTGGGGGGAGTCCCAGAACCCCACAAGGGTGAGAGGGATCCGAGGCGTGAGTCCAAGCTTCCACCTCCAGGAGAGGAGAGGAGAGGCTCCCCAGCCCAGCCACCTCCCACAGCTCACCCACATCCTGCCTTCCTCTCTTCCTCCATCTCCCACTGCAGCCTGGACTCGGCTTCCACCTTGAAGCAGGCAGTGTGGAGGGAGAGGGCTGGGGAGCCAGGTCCCCTCTGAGCTCGGAGGACCTCCCCTGAGATGCAGCCTTGGACACTTGCTGGCACATCGGCGAATGGCCACGGCGGCAGGCTGGCCTGGCCGCTCCTCCGTCGGTTCCTCCTCCACATGGGAGACACTGCAGTGTCCTCCGCCTGACCTCTGCACCCCCAGGGCCCAGGGCTGGGTGCATGCGTGCACCTGTGTGACATGTCTGTGTCTGTGTGTCCATATGTTCCTGTGTGATATAACTGACACACGGGTGTGGAATTGGGATGAGAGTCTGAGGGCTCCGGCAACACCAGTGAGGACAGAGCATGCTCACTCCAGCCGGGGAGGGGTTAGGAGGCTAAAATAGAAGGATCTCAAGTTCAAGGCCAGCCTGGGCTACATAGAAAAACTTTGTCCCCAAAAAACAGAAAGAGGATGAAAGGAAGAGGAGAAGGAGGAGGAAGAAGGAAGGGAGGGGCTCACATGTGAAGATTAGAAAGTATACAGGCCCACACATCTCTACAGTAACTATGAAAGCTAGCCAGTGGTTGGTGGGTTGTTTGCAAGTCTGAGGGAAAATGAGCCTCTGCCTAAAATTCCACACCCAGACCACTGATCAGCCAACCAGAAAAGTAGTCAAAATCAGCCAGGCTCACACCTGGCATCCCAGATACTCAGCAGGCTGAGATCTGAGGATCCTGCCTGGAAACCAGCCGGGGCAGAAAAGTCCCCTTGAGACTCTTAGCTTCAATTAACCACTCAAAAAACTGGAAATGGGAGATGGATGGGGGGGGGAGGGGCAGAGAGGAGTCGGGGAGGATGGAGGGAAGGGATGGTAGGGGAAAAACAAAGGAGGGGGTAACAATCCTCCATTGGAATGGTACTCATTACCTTGCTCATGTAACTGTAACCCCTCTGTAAAGTATCTTTACAATCAAAAATATGTACTAAAGAATTTAAAAATTAAAAAAAAAAGAAGTGGTGCTGTGGCTCAAAGTGGTAGAGCATTAGCCTTGAGCAAAAGAGCTCAAGACAGTGCCCAGACCCTGATTTTCAAGCCCCAGGACTAGGAAAATAAAATCAAAACCCATGTGTGTAGAAGAGGCTTATTATTGGCAAAGTGTGAGGTAAAATACTGAGAAAATTTGAATCATGGAAAAATTAGCCTTATAACAAAGGATTTAACATAATGTGCTCCATCAGCTAAAAACAATCCTCAAAAGGATCAGTCTGGGCCAGGAATTTGGCTTAGTGGTAGAGAGCTTGCCTAGGATGCATGAAGTCCTTGGTTTGATTCCTCGATACCATGTGAATAGAAAAGGCCGGAAGTGGTGCTGTGGCTCAAGTGGTAGAGTGCTAGCCTTGTGCAAAAGAAGCCAGGGACAGTGCCCAGGCCCTGAGTTCAAGCCCCAGCACTGGAAAAAAAAAAGGATCAATCTAAGGTTGGATACCACTGGCTCAAGCCTATAATCCCAGCTACTCAGGAGGCAGAGATCAGGAGGATTGTGGTTTGAGGCTAGCCCAGCCAAAACAGCACATGACTCTGATTAGGCTATGTTTCGTACAAGTGTGGAAATGTCATAATAATCTCTTCAAAAAAATCTCTTTAAGGGCTGGGAAGGTGGCTCAGTGGTAAAGCGCTCACCTTGTATGCCTGAGGCCCTGGGTTCGATTCCTCAGCACCACATAAGCAAAAAGAAAAAAGCCAGAAGTGGCGCTGTGGCTCAAGTGGTAGAGTGCTAGCCTTGAGCTGAAGAGCTGAGGGACAGCGCCCAGGCCCAGAGTTCAGGCCCCACGACCAGACCCAAAAAAAAAAAATCTCTTTAATACTAATGTATGCTCATTTAAACCAGACCCAAAAAAAAAATCTCTTTAATACTAATGTATGCTCATTTAAAAAAATGACATCCCATCTTAACAGAAAATGTTGGATGTGGAGGTATGTGCCTGTCATTCCAGCCATAATAGGAAGCATAAATAGGCAGATCACAGTCCAGGACAGTCTGGGCAAAAGTAAGACTCTCCCTTTCCCTTTTTCAAAAATAACAAGAGCAAGGGCTAGAGGTGTGGCTCAAGTGGTAGATCACCTGCCTAGCAAGTAGCCCTGAGTTCAAGCAAAAAAATGGATGTTTCTGTTTATATGACATTTAACCATGTCCCAGAACAAAGGTCACAAGCATTTGTAGGGAAAAATTATCTAGTACTCAATGATACAAAGTTCACAGTGTTAAGTGGCCAATAAAAACTTACCAGGCATGCAAAGAAGTAGAAAAATGAATAATGAAGATAAAAAACAAATCCAGAAATGAAGCAGATGACAAAAAACTAATACATTAAAAACATGAAAATCATTTCATAAATATATTTCCAAGTTCAAAACTGAAAACGGTAAAAAAAAAAAAAAAA